CCTGAGAGGAGAATGGAGGAGAAGGGATTGTGGTGTGACCATCCCCCCTGGGGGGTGATTTCTCGCTTTCTGTCTCTATGTCTCTCTCTGTCTGTCTGGTGAGTGCACACGCCCTATAGCGAAAACCTCTCCAAAATAAAAAAATTAATTTCTTTATTTTTTATTTCTTAAGAGGTTTTTGCTATAGGGCGTGTGGGTTCGCCAGAGAGACAGAGAGAGACAGAGAGACAGAAAGTGAGAAATCACCCCCCAGGGGGGCTGGCCACACCACAATCCCTTCTCCTCCATTCTCCTCTCGGGATCTTGGGCACGCACGCACACGCACCCGCGCCCAGCGTGAGTTTTAAGCCACCGGGTCCGGGACGCGGACCGCGGCCAACTACATGGGAATCCAGCGACACAGCCATTATGTTAACTGTTGATCCCTCAAATGTCAGCTTCTTAGTGAGAGCTTCCCTGATCACTCTACTTAAAATTTTAATATCCATCTTTCCCATTCACTAATTCTCTTCTCTGACTTTATTTTCATCTACAGTATTGATCATTATCTGACCCCTCTGCCTAGGAGAGGCAAATGCAAACCTTCTTTAATAGAATGCACCTTCCTTATGGGCCTCAAAACATTCCTCAATACTATTACAAGAAAAAACAAGTAGCTTTAAGCAAAAAACAAACAAGCATACAAGACAAAAAGGATTCAGGACAGAGAAACAATAGAAATAGCAGAGACAATGGGGCCAGCAGATGGTGTAATGGTTCAGTCACTGGACTTCCACATAGCTGACCACAGTTTGAGTCCTGGACTCAAAGGCTTAAAACTCACACTGGGTGCATTTACATGCATGTCCAAAATCCCAAGAGGAGAATAGAGGAGAAGGGATTGTGGTGTGGCATCCCTCCTGGGGGTTGATTTCTTGCTTCCTGTTTCTCAGTCTCTCTAGCAAGCACACACACAATATAGCAAAAACCTTAAAAAAAAAAAAAAAAGATAGCAGAGACAGATCTGCAAAGACTTTAAGCTGAAGAGATGATTATTGAGCTAAAACATATACATACAAGGGGAGGTTATCCAAAACACAGCACGAAGGAGATAGAACATGAGAAATTAATAGAGAATGGCTAAAATACCTTTAATTAGAGATCCAGAAGGAAAGGTAAGAGAAAGTGGAAACAATCTGAAGAAATTATGGCTGATGATATCCCAGAATTGTTGATAGAATCAATTTTCTAATTTAAGAAGCCCAATGAGGTTTTCAGTTTAAAGAGAAGAAATCTACAACCAGACTTTCATAATGAAATTACAGGACATCAAATCAGAATATTTTAAAAACAGGTGAAAACTAAAAAAAAAAAGAAAAGAAAAATACCTGACAGGAATACATACCTGACAAGAATAATACCTGACAAGAATAAATACCTGACAAGAATACATACAAGTTTAGAGAAATATAAATAGAATTAAAGTGAGTTCTATCCTCTCTAGGCTTGGACCTAGTTGGCCATGGTATGGCTAAACGCACCAAGGTCAGCATCGTCGTTAAATACGGGACCCGCTATGGTACCTCCCTCTGGAAAATGGTGAAGAAAATTGAAATCAGTCAGCACGCCAAGTACATCTGCTCCTTCTGTGGCAAAACCAAGATGAAGAGATGGGCTATGGGGATCTGGCACTGTGGTTCCTGCATGAAAACGGTAGCTGGCAGTGCCTGGACCTACGCCACCACTTCGGCTGTCACAGTAAAGTCTGCCATCAGAAGACCAAAGGAATTGAAAGACCAGTAGAAGCTCCATAGACATTTGGAATATCGCTAGCCTACAATAAATGGGCTAATTCATGTAACAAATAAAAAAAAAAGTGAGTTCTATGGTCTTCACAGCGGAATTCATTTCAGACTCTGAAAAATAACTATGCATGTTTTTATCTCTGGGTAATGAAAGATTACTTAAAGGATGTACACTTCGAAAGTATTCAAAAGAAAAAAAGTATTCAAAGGGAAAAAAAATCAACCCAGAAGGCAGATTAAAAAAACAAACAAAAAAGCAAAAAAAAAAAAAAAAGAAAAAAACCCACAAACCAGGGGAGACAATGAAAGCACAAATAAGATTGCAAATTTACACTCTAATGTGTAATAAATCACAATGAAAATAATGACCCAAATCTTCCATTTAAAACAACTAAAGCTGCTGGGCTGAAATAAAAAGGATCCAATTAAATGCTGAATTATAAAGACATAAAGATTGGAAGTGGGACCAGTAGCTACCATAATGGTTATGTCACTAAACTCCAACACAGTTGACCGCACCTCAAGTCCCTGACCCAGCAGCTTAAAACTCACACTGACTGCATGGGCGTACATCCCTAAAATCCCGAGAGGGGAATAAAAGAGAAGGGATTACAGCATGGCCATCCCTCCATGGGGTGATGTGGGAAGCCAAAGAGGAGACGTGAGGAATGTGCAGGACATGACCACCAGAATAAGACCAGGGTCTTTATCCGGACATGGTCTTGGGTGGCTGAACTGTTATGAGCAGAATGTCTTGGGATTGTTTTGAACTGAATGTACCAAAGTACTGTTATAACAATCTAATAAATTCAGTAAGGACTTCAAATCTTACATCACAGAAGTCTCTGGAGTGTGTATAAATACTAGCAATAAAGTACATTTGGTGCTGACCAGTATTGACTGGCAGTTCTCCCGTTTCTATCCTGTCTTCTTGTCTTTTTTTAATCCTCACCCCTCAACTCAGGAACTGTTCACTGTCGGCAGGTCTGACAGGGCGATTTCTCACTTTCTGTCTCTCTCTAGTGAGCATGTACCCTATAGCAAAAATCTCTCTTAAAACAAAATAAAAATAAATAAATTCACTCTATTACAATGTTATTATTTTTCTATATACAATATAATGTCCCAGGTTCTACATACCTGAATATTGTCCTTACTCCAAGTATGTGGAGTTTTATTGGCAAGTAATTTCAGATCCTGAATGGCAAGTCTCTTTACTGCTTTTCTGGGGTCATTCTTCAAATACTGCAACAGAAGCTGAATCTGTAAAATAAATAAATCACCCCATGAACAATACTGTCATTAAAATGATCATGAGGCAAAGTGAAACTTAGATTTGACCCAGGTTTTGGTTGAAATCACAGTCCTGTAACTTATGAGCTATGAGCCCTTACTTGGGCCTTGGTCTTCTTGTGGGTAAAATATTACCATGTAACTTGTAAAATTCTGGCACAGGACCTAGCATTTAATGGACACTCAAAGCTTTTCTTGGCTTTACTGCCAATGCCACATCCTATCATGTGCCCCAACACCCTATTTTCCTCAAGGCTCTAAAGATCAGAACTATAAATTATAGAGAAGCAAAAAACAAGCAAAAGAAGATTAAACTGAAGTTTATCAGAGAAAGGAACCCTAATACTTATGGTTTACTTATTTGTTATGATATATTTAATGTGGAACATCACTGATAAAAAGGCTGTTTAAAGAAAACTGAAATTACCTGCTTGGGCGTGTCAACCAAAGATGAAGCTGCGAGTAGAGTGAAAGTGTGCAAAGAAACAATCACCATTTTGGTCGAAGGATAGGCTGTGACAAGCTGCTGTAAAAGCTGACGAGCACTGGAAGCCAGGATTGCGTCATGGTGCATGTGCTGTAGGATAGGGATCAACTTCAGCTTCAAATCTACTGGTGTAGCTAATCCTAGATATAGAAAGAATTCTCAGAGATTTCTGACATCAACTTCAAAGTCTGATTCAATTAGCAAAATGTACATTTGAAAACAAGTAGTACATTAATATTGTAACATTAAAGATACTTGGGGAACCAGAGATGATATAATGGTTATGTCACAGGACTCTTAAGTAGTCGATGGTGGTTCAAGTCCCAGAATTGGCGGCTTAAAACTCATGCCAGGTGCGTGTACTTGTGTGCCCAAAATCCCAAGAGGAGAACGGAGAAGGGATTGTGACGTGGCCATCCCCCGGGGGGTGATTTCTCACTTTCTGTCTCTCTGGTGAGCACAAGCACCCTATAAGCAAAAATCTCTCTAAAAAATAGGAAAAAAAAAAGATAATTATACTAGAACTAGTATGTTCAATAGTTTTTTTCCCCAAAAGTATTTATCTTAATTTTAACTTTTTAATGATTCTAAATCATATACTGACAAAAAAAGCCTTTTATAAGGCAGTCTTTGCTCACAGTAGAAATCAATTTGCAATTTCTTACAGCATAACAAAGAGTTTATATGCACTTACACACACACACACACACACACACATTCAACGGATACCATTTGATTCCATTTACTATCTTATTTTCTGCAACAACTAAATCAAAATCGGGATGTAAACAGAATGTATATAATGGTTCTAAAGTTCTCTGAACTTAGCGGTATAGCAATGCCCTTCTATACTACAAACACAGCTTATCTCCATGAACACCAACCCCAATATTATTTTTTCCTGTCAATGTTGGAGTTAAAACTTTTTCTTCTACAACACAGCTTGTGGTGACAGAGAACAGAACATTTTCAACTATAATGTACTACACACATGCCAAAAGCTAATTTATACTCTCCAGATCACTGGATTTTCCACTGTGAAATAATTACTGGTGTATACCACGACAGTAACCCAATAATGGCTCAAGTCAACTCACTCCCCTCTATTTGAGTTTTGCCAAAGCAGAGAACCTCATGAAGAGATGGGAGGGAAAAAACAAATGTCATAGCACTTATTCCCCAGCTTCGTCTCTGTAAGATCACATCATGTTCACATTATTTTGATCCTTTACTTAACAAATGTATTTGAAACCAACTTTGAAATCCTCTTAATCATTTGTTTTTTCACTCTTTTCCTGGTTTTTGCCCTTTCTCTGATTGTTCTTTCTTAATTTCCTTATAGTTAATCTTAATTTCTTATTAATCTCCTTTTCTAGCTATACTTTCATTTCTAGTGTTCCCTTGAGGTGGTTATAAATCATCTTTTTCCTTGTTTACTTTCCATGTGTGAGCTGAAATAATCTCATGGTCTCCATTATCAGGTGAATGTTAGACTACAATTCATCCTTTCTCCTCACTCCAGAACTTCAGATGCATTTATTCCATACTTCCAGGTAATCTCCACTAGGATGGCTCAGAAGCATTTTGTACTTAATAGAGCCCAAAGAATATTTCTAGTTTTCACACTGAAGTTGCCCTTTTAAAAATTTTCCCATTTTAAGAAAAGGTGTCTGCCAACTTTTTAATGTCCTTGGGACCAGCAGTTAGCGTAATGGCTATGTCGCTGGACTCCCATGTAGTTGACCATGGTTCAAGTCCCGGACCCGGCAGCTTAAACTCACACTGGGCACATGTGTGTGCATGCCCAAGATCCTGAGCGGAGAATGGAGGAGAAGGGATTGTGGTATGGCCATCTCCCTTGGGGGGTGATTTCTCGCTTTCTGTCTCTCTTGTCTTTCTGGAGTGTGCATCGCCCTATAGCAAAAACCTCTCCAAAAAAAGAAAAGGTGTCTGCCGACTTTTTAATGTCCTTTATTCTTTCACATCCCATTTCCATATTTTTCAGCAAATCTTGCTCGTTCTGTGTTCAAATACAATAAAAAACTATGTATTTCCACCTCCACTGTTACCATGCTGATCTATTTTCACTACCATCTCTTAAAGTTTTGCAAACGTCTCCTAAGTGTTCTCCCCTTTAGGCCTTTCTCCATGACAGACTCCCATCTCACAGTCCACTATGTCCTCCAGTGCAAATCTGCTCTCAATCCAGAACAGAGCAGTTGAGTAGTTCTTTGTGTTTATAGACATTTTAGGAAGACTCAGAGATTTTACTTTGCAGAAACACAACAGCTAAAATTAAACGTCAGGATGCTCTGCTTCCAAAATTCCTTTGCCGTTTCCATATCTTGGCTTTGCTCTAATTTCTTTCCACCTTGCCCCCAAATACAGTCCTGTGTTGGCCTTAATCCTTCTCTCTCCTAATTCCTGTTTGTTATTATGCTTTCAGGTAAAACTTACAAAATAAAGAAATACATCTGAAGTGGAAAGATTAATACATTTTTACATATGTAATACCCATATAACCATCACTCAGATATACAGAATACTCTAGCATCCCAAAATGCCCCCTGTATAGCTTAAATCAACTCCCTTGTGGGACCAGCAGTTGGTGTAATGGCTATGTCACTGGACTCCCATGTAGTCAACCGCAGTTCAAGTCCTGGATCTGGTGACTTAAACTCACACTGGGAGCGTGTGTGTGTGTGCCCAAGATCCCAAGAGGAGAATGGAGGAGAAGGGATTGCAGTGCAGTCATCCCTCCCGGGAGGGGGGTGATTTCTCACTTTGTCTTTCTGTCTGTCTCACACGCATACCCTATAGTCCAATAAAATAAAATAAAATAATCGACTTCCTTGCTATTTGCCCTCTGTAGGGGTTTAGACAATAAAGAGCCCCACGAGGAGATGGGAGGGAGAAGAATAAGGTCAGAGTATTTATTGCCTGGATCCCTCTTTTGCAGGGACATACTCTGCTCACTAAAGGTCAATTTTTCAAAATAGTCCTCTGAATATGACTCCAACTTGCTGGTAACCACTCCCTCCCCTGGATCCTAGAGGGCTGGTAAAAGCTATTACTAAGCTCAAGGACTGCGTTATCCCCTATAGTTTATCCTGCCCACACTTCTGTAAATGGTTCTTTTATTAAACCCTTCGTGAATTATCCTAATTCAAGTGTGCCATGTGTTTGCTGCTGATATCTTGACTGACACAACAGGTATTCAATAAAAACCTGCTCAATGAATGAGCAATGCTTCCTTCTAATGTCACAAAGATAACCTTCTCTACAGGAAAGCCCTTTTCAGGTAATGGTAGATAAAAAGAAGAAAAAAAAAAACAGGACAAAGCTCAACCACTGCACTTTGGTTTTTAATTATTTTTTATTATTTATGCAAAATGAGTGATCTTTATTATGTATGCAAAGTGAGCAAGTTCTCTTTAGTTTTAACGTGAAAGCCTATTTAAATGTATGAATTACATGCCCTGAGAAATTCATGCTCTAGAAAGTCACAAGACAGTGTAGTGGTTCAAAGCATGGGTTTCACAGGCAAAGAAAGATGAATACCACATACTCCTACGTGGAATCTAAAAAAGTTGTCTAATAGAACTAGAGAGGAGAACAGTAGTTATGAGAGGTAGGGAAGGAACATGGGGGTGGTTAACAGGTGTCATATATATATTTTTTTTTTTTGAGAGATTTTCGCTATAGGGTACATGCGCTCGCCAGACAGAGAGACAGAGAGACAGAAAGCGAGAAATAACCCTCCAGGAGGGATGGTCACTCCGCAATCCCTTCTCCTTCATTCTCCTCTCGGGATCTTGGACACGCACGCACACGTGCCCGGCGTGAGTTTTAAGCCACCGGGTCCGGGACGCGAACCGCGGTCGACTACGTGGGAGTCCAGTGACATAGCCATTATGCTAACTGCTGGTTCCCAACGGGTGCCATATATTAAAATTAGATAAGATTAAGTTCTATTGTCCAATGGCACAGTACAGTTAATAATAAAATGTTTGTATATATCAAATTAGGTAAAGGAGACACAATACCCCATAAATCAGCACAATTATGTCAGTTAAAAAAGTTAATTTAAAAAATCATAGCTTCAAAGCCAAACTGGCACTTATTAATATGGGATAGGACAAAGTACTGAGTTTTATTGTGACTCCATTTCTGTTTCTGGAAAAAGGACAAAACAGCATTACTAATCCAAGGCTGCCAAGTTACACAACTTGAAAGAAAGGCACTTATAAGTATATGAAGAAAGTGGTATTCCACACAGCTGTGCTATGCTGGAGCTCCCTCTTATGAATGCTAAAAGGATAAATGGGTCATACACATGAGGTGTAGTATAGAAGATGAGATTGGAAAACTATGGCTTTGTAGGCTTTGGTAAGGAATTTGAATTGATTCTAGTTGCAACTGGAAGACACTAGAGGGAGCTCCTGATAACACCGGCCTCCTCACATTAGACTCTCCTCTAACTATCTGATGGCTCACTTCTTTCTCTCTTAATGTCTCACTCAATATTACCTCATCAAAATCTTTCTTTAATTAACATATATAAAATTAAAAGTGCTCCCTTTCACCCCGCTATCTCTAAACCTCTTATCTCATTTTTCCCTTCATAACGTATGTTGTATTTGTAGTTGTCTATTACCCAGCCTATCCCCTGGCTAGAATGCAGGTTACATGAGGAAAAGGACTTTTTTTGTTGTTCACTTCTGAATCCTAAGCATTTAGAATAGTTTAGGCACCTACGAGGTGCTTTGTAAGTATTATGTGAATAAGTGGTAACTAGCATAAGTGGTGACTACTTATAAATGTTAGCAAGTATCATTAATATAAATCCCATTAAATCACTTTATAATACTAAATGAAGCATACATACCTTGAATCATTTCACTGATTTTGTTACAGATTCCTACAGCAAAATCCCTTTGGAAAGAAAAAACACCAAAAACTTTAAAATCAAAAAATTAAATTTTCTCAAGTTTTCTAAGGATTTAAAATAAATATAATCCAATTAGCCCAAAAGAAAAGCAATGACCTAAATCACAGTACCCCAAAGGTGAGGTGCTGGTGTGGGAGTGGTGATGGTAAGAAACAACTGAAACAAAAACTCCAACCATCAGATGAGCTGATGGCAACACTTTTCTCACATGACGTTCAAGAAAAGAAACTGATTTGTAAGTGCTATTCTAATTTCTATCACTAGTGACAGTGTCTAAAAGAATCAAAGTCACCATCACAGAATATGATGTTTTAGGATATACTTTCAGTTAAGGAAAACTTTTAACAAACAAGGTCTGATCATATAAACACTAAAATGTACTTCTAACATTAGAATAAAATTAGGTATCAATTGGTAGAAATGCAGAAGGAAATATAGATAAGATCTTATTAAAAGTCAAACTACCAATATTTACAATCAGTCTTTTTTTTTTTTTTTTTTTGAGAGGTTTTCGCTATAGGGCGCATGCACTCACCAGACAGACAGAGAGACAGAAAGCGAGAAATCACCCGCCAGGGGGGATGGCCACGCCACAATCCCTTCTCCTCCATTCTCCTCTCGGGATCTTGGCCACACATGCACACACGCCCGGTGTGAGATTTAAGCCACCGGGTCCAGGACGTGAACCGTGGTCGACTACGTGGAAGTCCAGCAACATAGCCATTACGCTAACTGCTGGTCCCCGAATCAGTCATGTTTTTAATTACTATTTGTGTATTCTCCAAGGTGCTGATTTTTGAATCTACTATAATAGATCACTGAATGTTAAAAAAGTCATTAATAATATGAATAAATGCTATTCACATGTAATATTAATACATACATTAAAGGTTATATAATATGTAAAAAAATACGAAAGAAATAATTGGTTAGACTTGGTTCATTCAGCCATTATAAATATAAACAAGACATGAAATATTTCTCTGTAGTTCAATAAATGTCTAGATGAAATATTTTCTGCCAGTAAGATATTATTTGCTGTTTTCCATTTCTTTCTCTCACAGGTGAACAGTAGAATAAACAAAGGCTCTATAATTTAAGACACCATTTCTCAATAGCTAATGAAATGTACACTTCTATATTCTAATGTTCCCTATAATTTTTAAGACATAGGTTTAGTATATAGATATGTATTATTTTAGAGTAATTCACTTTGTTCTCAATTTCTGTGTGTTCTTACTGTCTTAGATTGTATCTTTTATCTCTATAACCTGATTATTAGTCAATATAGCATTCTTTTTTTTTTTGGAGAGATTTTCACTGTAGGGCTCGTGCGCTCGCCGGACAGACAGAGAGAGACATAGAGACAGAAAGCGAGAAATCACCCCCCCAGGGGGGATGGTCACGCCGCAATCCCTTCTCCTCCATTCTCCTCTCGGGATCTTGGGCACGCACGCACACGCGCCCGGCGTGAGTTTTAAGCCACCGGGTCCGGGACACGAACCGCGGTCGACTACGTGGGAGTCCAGCGACATAGCCATTACGCTAACTGCTGGTTCCCAATATAGCATTCTTTTGAAATACTAAAGTTTTTCTGTGTTTACAAAGAAATCCATACTTTGTCTTACTACTTGTGGTAAAATTTGGAAGATTTTTATAAAATTGCTAAAAATTCTTTATAAAACTTCAATTTTTGAAGAGTTTCATAAAAATTTTTATAAAACAGCTGTTGTCTTAGATTCAAGACAATAACAATACTTTAAAACAAACATTTTATCTGCAAAGTATTTTTATATGTAAGAGTGAACTTTGGCTTGAAAAAGAGAAATGTAGAAGACTAACTTTCTTAACTCACAATTGTATGACTAAGTCTAAAAATGCTGAAAAAGATGAAACTGCCTATTAGAACATTCTCTAATCCACAGGAGGAATGTATTCTAAAGAAAATGGGGGGGGCCACAGGTGGTGTGGTGGTTAAAGGTGCTGGACTCCCAAATGGCCGACCATGATTTGAGTCTCAGACCTAGTGACTTGCTTTTCTCCCTTTCCCTTTCTCTTTGTCTTTCAGGTGAGTACACGTGCCTTACAGCAAAAACCCCTAAAACAAACAAACAAAAAACAAAACAAGCAAAAAAAAAAATTATGCCAGGCATAATTCTGAGGGGAGAATGGAAAAGAAGGGACTACAGCATGGCCATCCCCCCTAGGGAGTGTTTCTTGCTTTCTGTCTCTCTGGTGAGTGCACATGCCCTATAGCAAATCTCTATTAAAAAAAAAAAGAAAAGAAAAAAACGTAAATCTGATATGTTCTTGAAATGCAAAAATAGATTATACCTGTTCAAGCCAGAAGTGATAAGGGGATGAGTTATCATAGTGCACTAGCTGAAGAAGTGTACGTAGCATGATAACTAGCATCCTTATAAATAAATATCAGTACACATTGTGATTCCTTGAGTAAGTTCTTGAAATGCATTTTTCTGGGTGAAAGAGATGCACATGCTCAAGGTTTTTTACACAGATTATCCAAATGCCTTTTCAGCAGGCAATGCTACTTTTGATAGCAGTTAGACAGACGATATATTTTTTGCAGAGAGTAAACACAATAGTCAAACAGTAATAATAACCATAGGTAGCAGTTCACTAAAAAAAAAAGCTCTACAAGATATTAGTGTAAGGCATAATATCCTGAAAATTCATTAAAATAGGTTTTAATGCAAGCTTCCTCAACAACTTTAATCTATGATGACCCTGTCCTTCTAGAAACCAACATTTTTTTTTTTTTAAGAGAGATTTTTGCTATAGGGCACATGTGCTGGCCGGAAAGACAGAGACAGAAAGCGAGAAATCACCCCCCCCAGGGTTATGGCCATGTTGCAATCCCTTCTCCTCTATTCTCCTCTTGGGATCTTGGGCGTGCTGTTTATGGGCCCCTACATGAGTTTAAGCCAGCGGTCTGGACTCGAATTGCAGTCAACTATGCAGGAGTCGAGCAGAAAATAATTTCTATTCAAGTTTTCTGTTTTATATTCTTGTCTCTTTTCTCTGACATGGTATAAATCCTCCTAAAAAATACACCTTGTCATTTACCTTTGTCTATATCCCTCAGTGTTTAAATAGATGAGTTATTTCTTCAAAAATTCACATTGATACACTGAAATACTAAAAGACCTATGCTTACTTTGACTGTGCAGAAAAGTTTGCAGCAGCAAAAACAGCAGCTTCAACTTCTACATTATCATGCGAGTCCAAACTCTGACGAATACTGTGATGAGCATTCTTCCTCTCGGGAATTATTGACGCCAAACTTCCCAACATCCTAGGGAAATAAACCCAAGAAGAATAAACAGGCAACTCAAGGTCAAAGAGATGAAGGCAAAACTAGATTACCAAAACTAAACTATGTAGGTAACTCTGTAAATGTCATGTGAATGAAACTTTAGTAATCAGCAGTGACTCAAATTCTAAACACTTGTATATACCTCAGTATGTCAAAAATATGAAATGGCTTATCTAAAACAAGGGGGAAAAAAAGTCATACTGAATAATATCCCAGGACCAAACAGGGCCAAAAATAAACTTCTGAATTACTAAGGAATCAAAATATCAATTTTCCAATGTTGAAAAAAAGAAGTCCACATTAGCCAAGCATGAAGAATACCAAATTTCTGCTATTAAGTGGATCCAAAAAGTCAGACTTCCCAGCCTACTTTTTCCCACATCAATAAATACTGGTATAATGATTTTCAAATTTGTTATCATCAAGGGAGCAGAGGTAGCAGATGCTCCCTGGGGCTCATACCAGGATCTGCAGTGGTGTTAGAAAACATGGTTCACTTTACAATAAAATGATGTATTTAAGAAAGAAAAAAAAAACTGTAATATAAATAATAGAAAGTAAAGCTTGCAAAATCCTTTCAGCAAAAGGCATGGATTTTAGAAAGCTGCAAAACATCACAATAAACAAAACCTACAATGTTCCTACAGTAACAACGTTCTTCTAAATCAACATCCTTAATACCTTCCAACCTGCTTTCAGCCTGATCTGTCATCACCTAATTATTTTATGGAGAAATAATCAGCTGACTATAAGTAGCTGAGTTATAAATAAGATGCTAAAATAGATGAGATTTATTATTTGTATTTAATTTGAAAATATTTATCTTTCAAAAGAAAGAACACGTCTTTTTTTTTTTTTTTTTTAAGACAGGGTCCTGCTATGTCACAATCCTCCTGCTTCAGCTTTCCAAGTAGCTGGGATGATAGGCATGCACCACTGTATCTAACCTTTAGGGTGGGCCAAGAATTAAACCTGGGTCTCCCATGTACCCTCAGTCTGCTAACTAGTAGTGCCTACTAGTGCATGCTAGGGCCTAATCTAATTTTCATGCCGGAAAAAGATTAGATTAGGCTAATATTGACACTTTGACTAATACTTTGTGATATAAGAGGACAAAAAAAGGCATACCAGTTAGTTACAATTTCTGAAAATATTACAAAAATTCATGGCACTTAATTAGAATACAATGAGTACCTTCTAGCTTCTTCAATTTGTTTTAATTTGCGAGCTTAAATAGGTTAAAAAAAATAGAAGATCTTTCAAATATCTCTTCCCTATCCTTTTAAAAAAAAGTCATTCTGACTCTAAACGCTGCTTAGTTTGATAGGCATCACTTTGGCTTTTCTTCATGGTTTTCTACTTATTAGTACATTCTAGAAAGCAAGTTCCCTAAGGTCACAGTTCCCATTTTACCTTCCTAAAATAAATGATAAAGAACCTTCTACTCGATAGGAACTCCAAGAGCTCTTAAAGCTGATCTGTCATTCATTAGCCCCTACTGGTTCTTTGTAATTTGTTTTCCTCCTTTACTACTCTCCTTAGTGCTATTTTAATGGTCTTCAATAAAATTTTTTTTTAAAAAAAAATCACGTTTCTACAAAACATTAATCATATCTGAGTCTTTATAAAAATATACTATTATAGTACACATTTCACAATAGGAGGATTGGCAATACAAGTCACATATTTGCCCAATATATTTGCAAAGATATATTTTAATAGCCAGATTCTTTACATTTCTATGGTGATTATAAAACTTTTTGGGTACATTTTTCCACACAGAAAATAAATGAATCTGTTAAGACAGGTGTTCTCTTTCTCATTTTATAAGAAAAGGAAAGTGGTTTATTAAATGTCAGTTCATTACAACGTGAACTGGGACTGAAACAACATGCCAGCCAAACATCTCTTTAGATGAGTAGGCCACTGCTCCCCAACTAGGAGTTAAAAAAACTGATAAACTTTTTTTATTAAGCTACAAAAGTAATTAAATTATTTCTCCTCCTTTAAAGGCAGAACATTTACTGAACCTTACAGTACAAACTGAAAATGTGTATAATTGTGGTTGTTAGCACATTCATGGTTCAGTAATTGGTTTTCTATTGCCAACATCTGGGAGGTTAAGATGGTTACACAGGGGACCAGCAGTTAGCGTAATGGCTATGTCGCTGGACTCCCATACAGTCAACCGTGGTTCGAGTCCCGGACCCGGTGGCTTAAACTCACACCAGGCGCGTTTGCGTGTGTGCCCAAGATCCTGAGAGGAGAATAGAGAAGGGATTGTGGCATGGCTATCCCCCCGTGGGGTGATTTCTCGCTTTCTGTCTGTCTTTCTGGCAAGCGCACATTCCCAATTGCAAAAATCTCCCCCCCCACCAAAAAAAAAACCAAAAAACAAAAAACAAAAAAAGATGGTTACACAGCTTGAGACTGTTTTTATTCCAAGCTATACATTATTCAATTTATAAAGAAAAAAAAAAACCTAAGGAACAATGATGCTGAAATATAACTAAATTGAAGAGCATAAGAATGGAAATAATTGTTTGTAGCCTTTAGACTCTGAAAGATTTTTTAGTGTAATTTCTAAAATATATATTTGAGAAAAGATTATCTTCTAGAGTATATTTTTTAAAAATTCCTATAAATGTAATAAAAAGACAAATAACATTAAAATCTAAACAATCTAACGTAAGAAAAGGATTTTTAAAGGACACTTTTCAAAAGATGTATAAATGGCCAAATGGCACATGAAAAAGTGTTCAAGATCATTACCACCAGGGATATGCAAATCAAAACCATCACATACCCACTCGAATGGCTAAAATTTAAAAGACTTACAACACCGGGAACCAGCAGTTAGCGTAATGGCTATGTCGCTGGGTTCCCACGTAGTTGACTGCAGTTCACGACCGGGACCCCGTGGCTTAAAACTCACGCCGGGTGCATGTGCATGCGTGCCCAAGATCCAGAGAGGAGAATAGAGGAGAGGCGATTGTGGCCATCCCCCCTGGGGGGTGATTTCTCGCTTTCTGTCTCTATGTCTCTGTCTGTCTGTCTGGCGAGCGCACGCACCGTATAGTGAAAACCTCTCCAAAAAAAAAAAAAGACTAAAAAAAAGACTGACAACACCAAAGGCTGAAAAGGCACGAAGCAAGCAGAACACTCATACATTGCTCATGAGCATAAAAAATAATGAAAGCATTTAGGACAAAGATCTAGCCGTTTCTTATAAAACTACATATAAAACTACCCTGCTATCCAGGTCAAGATAAACATTTGCCAGAATAGAAAGTATGTTCACAAAAAGTTCTATTTGAGAATGTACACAGAAGCTTTGCTTTATTTGCAATAGCCCCAGACAGGAAAGAGTAGGCGCTCAAGAATAAAAGAAAAGATTAATATGGGGGCTGGCAGGTAGCATTGTAGTTAAGATGTTGGATTCCCACATGGCTGACTGTGGTTTGAATCCTAGACATGGTGGCTTGCTTTCTCACTTTTTTTTTCTCTCTCTGGCCAAATTAAAAAATAGTAATAAATATAATTAAGTAAATAATTCTTTAAAAAAAGATTAATAAACTATGCTATAGCACTACAATAGAAACCAGTCAGCAAGACAAGGGATACAATGATTGGTATACAAAATGGGTTAATCTAAAAGAAATTTGATTAAGGTAAGAAAGCCTTATATAAAAGGAGACCTAGTATATGAGTCCATTTATATGAAGTCCAAAAACAGACAAAAATTAATTTATGATGGAAAAAATTCAGATTAATGGTTGCCTATGGGAAGTAGATGTGAAAACTGAGTAGGAATGGCATAAGGGAACATTCTGGAGTGATGGTAACATAACTCATGCTTGTGTTAACAATGCAAATATTACAAAATCACATGGAAAAACACTCCTGAATCCATAACCCAATAAACGCTGCCAAAAATAATCATTAAGACAATGTCTTCTTGCTCATTTTTCCCCTAAGCCTATATAAACACATAAAATAAAAATTAGTGATAAAAATGAGTTAATAAAATGGATACCATTTAACTACTTGTTTTTTAACGTAATCTTTTTCTATGTTAGAACATACACTTAGTTCTTTAAAAGTTATACAGTGGTGCAAACATTAACTATTCCCATATTGATAAATCCTCCAGTTTTTCATTTTATAAAAATCATAGTATTATCATCCATATACATAAATTCAACACCTTTTTTAAATGATTTATTAAGGACTAGCTCATGGTCTGGTGGTTAAGATAGCTGGATCCCACATAGCCAACCACATGGTTTCAGTTCCAGACCCAGCAGCTTTGAGAAACAGGCGCCTGTGCATGCATGCTCAAAATTCCAAAAGGAGGGAGACACAAACGAGTAGGGGCTGCAGTGTGACATTCCCCATGGAGGGTGCCTTCTCTTCTCCCTCTCTCTGGCAAGCACATGTGCTCTCTAAAAAAAGAAAAATGATTTATTAAAAACATTTCTATAGATTAATTTGCTGAAGTAAAATGTAGAAGCATCTTAAATTTAAATTCTATTCTACTGAAATAGTTTTTAAAAGATAGAAATCAATCAACTGGCTTCAAAATATCACATGCGGTCACAATTACTCAAAAGACAGAAAAATGACAAAATCACTTAATAAGAATAAAAACTGATATACCTGATAAGAGGAAAATAAAAGAAACTCGGGGAAAAAGTAACATTCTGGACTTCCTGACTAAAAAGAGAATTGTTTACACAGGGTGAGTCAGAAATGAACCCTCTAATTTAGAAAAGTGAATTACAAAAAAAAAAATCATACAAAAATTGCACACAACCAAAAATGAACACAGAAAACAAGAACAAGGTCAGAAAGGCAAAAGGTCAAAATGAGTTGAGATTGGGATACAAGAGAATTATCAAAAATTTTGTCAAAAAATTAAGTACAATTTTATTTTAGTGCCAAAAATTTTTGAAATCACATACAATTTTTTCATAACAACATTTTCATGAACTTTTAAAAAGACTCCCTCCTACTGAAATCCACAGTTGTTTGATTGGAACATCTACCTACATAGAAGAAGGTTTCAAACATAACTTGAGCAAATTTATAAGCAAAACAGTATCATAGATGTTAACTGAAAAGAATTAATAGATTGAAATGGTCACCATATTTTTCCATTGAGTCTTAGTAAAAACAAAAACAAATCTTTAATAGTCAAAAAAAGGTAGGTATATTTCCTTTTCTATATGTAATAAAGCTTAAATAATATTGTGGATATCACCATGGCAACATAGTATACCGGAGTGTGATGGCTCTTGCCACAGGATCATTACTATGAATCACAGAGAAAATTCTCTTCACAAATTCATCCACATTTAGAATCTTCTCCAAATGCTTCTCACTTTGCTGTGTAACTTTAAGAACACACAGCCTCAGGAAATTGTTCCTAGGAAAAACAGAGACAAAATAAATTAGGCTGCTTTAAGAAAATAATACACTTGGGATTAAAGCATCACTAATGATATTAAATTTTAGCAATGGGCATGTTTTTCAATATTATCATTATTTCTCTCACTACTAAAAAAGGTTACCTTAACTCTGTACTTTAGGTGGACATTAACTGTAAATAGTTAGCTATGCCTCCCTCCTACAGCAAGATACCAAAATGGCAGTGACACAGGAAGTCCTGGAGCAATGCTAAACCTCAGTTACTATACACGGCAAGGTCAGATGGTCTTTCTGCTCTCTGCCTAATCCCACTGCTTCTTTTCTCCACCAAATCAGATTTGGTGTATGAATGAGCACTTGAGTGCATGAAGAATAGAAGAAAAAAGATGGAGAGAATGGTGGGGAGGGAAACAAAGAAATGGGTATTTATTTAGTGCTTACATGTTTCAGGCACTTCACTGACATGTAATTCACATTATAAAATAAGTTAATTGTTAATCAGAAACTTCTCAAAACAATGTAAAAAAATAGTGCACAGATTTTGCTGAAATATGTTAATACAATAATATGTAAAGGTTGTTTTGGTTTGTTTTATTCTGTTCCCCAAAGAAGTATCTTCTGAATTATATACTTCATGTTGGGCTTAAAATGTCATTAAATTTCACTTAGTAAAAATGTCATTAGATTTCACCTTGAAGTGCTGTACACTGCTATGTGTGTCCACTATAAAGTGGTAACTAACCATGCGGAAGTCCTTGAAAGGCAAAAAGCAAAAGACCACAATATAAACAAATTCGAATGAAGTGTTTTAGGATGTTAAAGATTTAAAAACTTACCCAACTCTGAAAACATCAGCTAACTTTAGGAATGCAGAATTGATAAGAATAGGAAAAGGATACTTCTGAAAAAGCCTGGGAAAACGAACAACTGCTTCACACTGTTCACCAAGTTTACCAGATCTTAGACCTGTGAAAATCACAGAGAAGAGAGCTTGAAAATTTGTTGCTACAAATAGCAAATACAAAGGTATTATACAGTAAAGTAATAATTACTCTTAAAAATTAGCTAAATTAACTCCTTATGCCTATAAAAATAAAAATATCAACAGTGCAGTAGTTCAGCTCTAGACATCAGGAGTCAGATTCCACGTGGCTGACCATGGTTCAAATCCTGAACCAGCAGTTTGAAAAACATGCTGGGTGTGTGGGCACACATGCCCAAAATCCTGATGGGATGAAGAAATGGAATAAAAAGGATTGTGGCAAAGAAGAAATGGGAGAAAAAGGACTGCAGCACGACCAGGACCCACTGGAGCCTCCTCTCTTTCTCTCTCTCTCTCTTTGGCAAGTGCATGTACCTTCCAGTTACTAAAATGTAAATAAACAGTAGTAATAAGGAAGAGGTTAAAAAAATAATACATAAACAAGTAATTTGGTAAACAGTCACTTCTAGACACATAATCATGAAAAAGAGACATTTTTTAAAAAAATGGGAGTGCTGTCTTTCCCTCTTTCACAAAATGCTGATTATACCTGCACAAGGAACAAATACCCTAGAATAGGTACTTCTAATAACCTTAGATTTATGTTTAAACAAATCACAAAGGAAATACTAAGGCTTTTTTTTCCTAGTTCCCACATTTCAACACAAAAGACAATCACAAAGTAAATCTGTGCAGACCATTTCCATAATTTACCAATGAGTGAGTTCTGTGAAACAATCATGCTGGTCTTTCAGTACCTGAAACACATTTCCTCTCAGATAAAGAATAGTACTGTCAACACTCACAATACTCTGGGACCTAAAAACTACTTATGCTAAAGTTTCTATAGAAAAAGAAACTCAGTTTCTAATTGGGATATTTAGAACATAACTCTTCACCTACTCCCTTTTTCTAGGTTCCATGACCTCCCGAACACACACAAAAAAATGTCACTGAAATGCCAAGAATCTTCTTCCCACATAAAACACAGTGCCAAGAGTGGTATTCCAAGTGACTGGCAGTGGCTCACATAGCCTCCAATGCTCTTCTAAAGTAGTGACATGAAAAGAGAGTTATAGCCCACGGGGACAGAGAGGGACACTAAGGAAAAGAAGGAAGGGCAAAGCTAAGAGAAACAGAAGGAACAGGTGTGTGCTTATTTATGTGTGCTAAGGGACGAGGTGATCAAGAAAAAGCCAGTCACTGGATTTTTTTCTTTTTTCATTCTCTTCTCACCGCCAGCAGTTGAGTTAGATATAAAAGACAGTAAAATTCTGTTTGTAATGAATGACTTTAGTTGGGATGGAAAAGTAGAAGAAACGCATGTACAGGAAGTCTCCTCAAAATGATGTAAGCAGGTTTTACCTTCTTTTGAAAACCAGAATCATAGATTATATTGATTTGTTTAGAAGTACTGACCTCATGGTATACTAGTTAAGTACATTTAGAGCCAGAATCCCAAGGTCCCAGCATGGTTTGAGTCTTGGCCCAATGGCTTGAAAAACACATGATCATGTATGAGCATGTATGTGTGTCTGACCAGAATCTTAACTGGGTAGAAAATGGAAGAAATAGGTTATAACCATTCCCCACTGAGAAATGCTTTCTTTATCCTCATCTCTGGCAATCAAAAATATATATATATATATATATATATATAAAGTGCTGATTTAAAATGTACCAAAGGCAATTTTGAATGTGGCCAGAGACATAGTTTCTAATGTTAACAAAGTTTATGTAAGATAAAGCAGAAATCTGTTCTTCTCTAACAGGGCCATCAGAGTAAAAGTAGACTTCTGTTCTTCTTTAACAATCTCTTGCTTATTTCCTGTTTAAAAAGCTTTGGGAGAGAGAAGGTGAGAGTAAAAGTGCTTTAAAGGCCTAGGATTTAGCAGCAACTGGAGTCCGGGGTGGTGGAGTACCCACCTTGTTTGCTCTAGGCCAATTTTGATTCCAGATAAGCCAAGCGCTCAAAAAGAGAATATCAGCGCAATCAGATCCTGGTCTCACTTAAAAAAAATTCCTCCAAAATCCAATCCTGCTTGAGAAAGCAGTCAGGCTGAGGGATATTTAAGTATCAATCCTCTTTCCCCGGGGTGAAGGAGTTCTTAAGTTTTCTCAAATGATCAGGACCACTTCCAATGAGAAAATACTTAAGACTGACTATGAAGCAGTAATATCGGTGAAAATTTTATAATAATGAGAGTAATTTATGAGCATTGCCTCCTTTATAATACCTAGTGTGCATAATTACCTATACCACAAAATTTATCAGATAAATACAAGCTGTATCTGAATATGACACTGAACTATGCTTATATGCTTAGTCTTCACAGAAGCTCAGTCAGCATGGCTATCAGTTTCAAACGTGGAATGTCTTCCCACTGCGCTTTGCATAAAATCCAAACTTCTAGTCCTGAACAATAAGGCCATATTTAATTGAGCCCTGTCGGAGACACAGAGAAGACAAAGAGAGAGAAAAATCACTCCCCAAGGGGATGGCCATGTCCCAATTCCTTCTTCTCCATTCTCCTTCTAGGACTTTGGGCACACACACACATGCACCTGGTGTAATTTTCAAACCACAATCAGCCATGTGTAAATCTAGCACCTTAACCACCAAGCCACTTGCTGGTCCCTAGGGGTCATATCTTAAACCTAACTTCCTACTTAATATCTCTGTTTGGATTGTCCAAGAGCTATCTCAAATTTAAAATGCCCCAAATTGATTTGATTTCATCCTCAATAAACGGCAATGCCATTTTTCCAGTAACTCAGATCAAAAACCTTCAAGTTTCCCTAACCACTCACTCTTACATCCTCATCCAATCCATTGGTAAACCTGTTGACTCTACCTTCAACATAAACCCAGAATCTCAGTACTTGACTTCACTGTTACTACTCTGGTCCAAGCCTCTAGTTTCCTAATTATTATAGTACAGTCGTCTTCTCACTGGTTTCCTCACTTTTGTTCCTGGTCTTCTCTTCAGGCTTTTCTCAACACAAAAGCCAGATTTGATCCTTTTCAAAGGTAAGTCACAGCATGTCACACCTCTGCTGAAGATCTTCCAAGGTTTCCTGTTCTACTCAGAACTGAAGTCAGTCTTTTCAACAGCCTTCATTGCTCTTTATGAACTGCACTCTAGTTGTCTTTACATCCTTGGTACCTATCACTCTGCTCCAGATACAACATTCAAAGCAGGCTTCTGCCTCAGGACCTTTGCACTTGTTCTTCCATTTGATCAGTGAAGCCTTTCTTGACTATCCTTTATAAAATAACAAACCACCTTCAACTCCATACAAGTTTTCTCCAGCCATATTCACCTGTTTTATTTTTCTTCATAATATGTAATACAATTTACCCTACTATATGCTTACTATATTTGTTTATTGTCTGCCTCCTCTGCCTAGAATATAAGCTCTATGAGGGCATAAGTTTTATTTTAGAACTGCTGTATGCCCACTACAGAGCCTGATCAACAGTGAGTCTTCTGAGTATATCTGTCTGGGTTGGGGGAGAGAAATTCCTGTAAAAATACTCCTTAAACAGCACTATTTGGAGTACACTTTAGAAAACTTAGGTCTAGAAGTTTTGAAAGTACAAGAAAGAACTTGTAGCCTTATGACCCTATGATCTTCAGCTCATAAAACAGAAATACTTTAACAAATAAAAGATTAAATGATTCAGTATTTAAAATACTGAACTATTATTCTAAAGAAACTGGCTATTTCTATAATCTAATTCTCTAGCAGCTTGCAAAGGGACACTATGGTGAAAAAGAGTACCAATTTTGTTCTTATCTCATAGAAATGATCTTTTTTCTTCTAAAGAGAGATTTTTGCTATAGGACATGTGCACTCCCTGGAGGGGCAGAGACAGAAAGCAAGAAGTCACTCCCCAGGGGGGATGGCCACACTGCAATCCCTTCTCCTCCATTCTCCTTTTGGGCACACATGCATGTGCCTGGCATGAGTTTGAAGACACCAGGTCTGGGACTCAAACCAGAGTCAACATGTAAGAGTCCAGAGGCGTAACCATTATGCCATCTGCTGGTCCTCATACAAATGATCTTTCTGAGCCAGGGACTCATCTGTAAAATATTCATCCAGGGCCTTGCCGGGAGGACTGACATGATCACCTACTTTATATCTAGGACTGACAATGGGTTTAAGGTTAAGCCATGCATTTCTTCCTTATAGATATGAAATAATTCAACTTTTCTCTAAAAAGAAAAAAACTGTCAGGTTCTTTTCTATAAAACAATATGTATAGACAGATTTTTACTATAGATTGCCTGCAATTGCAGGAGAGATAGAAGTGAGAAATCACCCCTCAGGCAGATGGCCATGCCACAATCCCTTCTCCTCCATTCTCCTCTTGGGATTTTGGGCATGCACACACATGTGCCCAGCATGAGTTTCAACCTGGGAATGTTATGCCTTAACTACTACAACACCTGCTGGTCCTAAAATTTTTTTCTCATAATTGCAATCTATAGAAATTAAGTCTGTATTTCCCTTTTCTTCAGTACCCCATTCTTGTTACTTGTTACTTGTTCTAAAACCACTATCCTACTGTCAGTCATGGGAAAAGCCCAGCAGGGCCAGAATGGCAGAAAATGTCTTTAGAACTGGTAGGGATATTTAGATACTATTTGGCCTGCAACTCTCACTGGAGAATAGGAAAGAATATATCAGAACAGAGAGAGAGAGAATGTAGTGTTTAAAAAACACATTATACTTTTAGATTTCAGAGAAGAAACGAGAAAGAAAAAGCTCAATATTGATGTGGAGGGGCCAGGAACTCAAAATAGATGCCACAATCCCTTCTCCTCCATTCTCCTCTTGGGATTTTGGGCATGCACACACATGTGCCCAGCATGAGTTTCAACCTGGGAATGTTATGCCTTAACTACTACAACACCTGCTGGTCCTAAAATTTTTTTCTCATAATTGCAATCTATAGAAATTAAGTCTGTATTTCCCTTTTCTTCAGTACCCCATTCTTGTTACTTGTTACTTGTTCTAAAACCACTATCCTACTGTCAGTCATGGGAAAAGCCCAGCAGGGCCAGAATGGCAGAAAATGTCTTTAGAACTGGTAGGGATATTTAGATACTATTTGGCCTGCAACTCTCACTGGAGAATAGGAAAGAATATATCAGAACAGAGAGAGAGAGAATGTAGTGTTTAAAAAACACATTATACTTTTAGATTTCAGAGAAGAAACGAGAAAGAAAAAGCTCAATATTGATGTGGAGGGGCCAGGAACTCAAAATAGCCCAAGGTCTGTTATTCCTGACATTTCCCAGGCCTCTGCAAATTCTTTCCCCCCTTTGAAATGATAAAAGCAACCTGAGGCCTTGAGAAGCCAGACACACAGCTTATCTGAACCTTTCTTCTTTAGAGCAAATCCTGGGCTGCTTCTTCCAGATAGGATACCCTTAGCCTGCTGAAACTCCCCCTTTTTCCAGCTCCCCATAAAAGACTGTGCTTAACCCCCATGGGGGAGGGGTGGAGAATCAGAGTGTTAACTCTTCTGTGCCCACTAACAAAATAAAGAGTTCTCCCTTTTCTCTACAGAGTGTTGTGTATTTGTGTCCCTTGGTGTCTGTTTTTCTGTAACAATATCATTGACGGGAATGCACTGAAGATACTATGACTTAGCCAAAGGAATATGCAATCAGGGTGTTGTGACACTTTCACGTTGATCAAAAGACTTTTTTAAATTAAGTGTGTGTATGTTGGGGGGAGGCAGTTCCCAAAAGTCAACAGACATGTCCATATCAGTGAGCTGAGAAGTGTCTAAAAGCAGACTTCAAACAGCTTTCTGACTTCTAGTCCAGTTCTCTATACATTATACACTGGCTACAATGAGAGGTGTAAACTAGCTGACAAAATATTCCCCCATATAATAAAAATCCTTGACATACACTGAAACAAAGGTTACCTGTTAAATCTCAAGGTCTTTACTGATAAGTATCTGCCCTTACCTCCCAATCCCTATTTAAGACATATCTCTTCAGCACTTTAATAAATGCTTCTTTTGCATACTATTATGTCGCACATCACCTAATATTTACAAGTCTTGCCAGCTCAATGGTACTGTACCCGCTTTGCAAGACAAAAAATCGAGGCAAGGTGGCTTGATGTATGATGGTTTGTCCACCCTCGCAAAATTAGCAAAATTGGAATTCAACTCAGTCTGATCCCAGAATCCCTCCTATTGCACCAAGCTGTCCCCTTTAAAGAAACAAAACTCGTGGAACTTGTTTAAACAGAATGAGCAAGGGCCAGGCTTTTCGGCTAGTTACTGGAGTTTTAATCTGCCTTGTAACCCGCGGGTAATAGAATTATGGAAATCAAATGAATCGTTATAAAATCAGTAGGAAGTTATTACTCAGCACTCCTGATAAGGACGTGGTATCAAATGAACACACCGAAAAATAATCTCACAATTTCAATTCAGCATCTTAAGACACTAGTCGTTTTCACTGTTTGGAAAATGGGGGGGGGGGGGACTCTCACCCCAGGGGGACAAAAACGGAAAATGGGGGGGGGGGGACTATGCCCCCAGGAGGTCAAAATAAGTCCCTCACTAGAACTCAATACTAGTACAGCTGCTGGAAAGCCAATCTGGTAATCTAGCAATTTTCCCACAATTATCCGAGGAAGCCAAAGCCCTCGCGCCAGCAGCACCAGCGATTCCAGCGTGGCCCCGGCCCCCCCTACCCCGGTAAGGCTGCGCGCATGCGCCTTCCTGCCTCTCCAGAGGCTTCCACCACCTGGCGGCGCCACTTCCCCCTATACCCATTTCATCCACTCAGCCCGCTCTTCGGGATACCTTTGTCCAATTCCATAAGGGCAGAGTTAGCATCCAGTTCCTGTTCACCATAGCCGGCATCTGCCAGGAATGACTTGGTTGAGTTTGACGCCATGACCCGATAGTTACTCGACTAAGCTAGTCAGAAATAATGCAAACTCGGCCCACAAACCGCCATCTTCTCCAACGTTTTCTCGCGGATTTTTCCTCCGCGCTCTGGAAGCCGTGGTACGCATGCGCCCTGGCCATGCCGCGGTTCGCCAGCGCCTGTGCTGCCCCTCTGCGCAGGCGCTCAGCGAGCTCTTGAACTCTTGATTCCCGCGGCTGGGAGAAAAGGAGGCGGGGATCCGAAGGGGGAAGTGACTCTGGGCGGCGGGACGTCGCGGCGGGAGCCAATCAGAGAGCGTGACGTCAGTTTGGCGCGGAGTTTGGCGGCCGGGGCTTACAGTGGCGGGAGTCAGGAGGCAGTAGCGAGTCGTGTTGTGAGGGACGCGAGTTGCGATTTCTGGTGAACTTGGGGGGCATTTTCACGGCTTTTTCCTCAGCGGAACCTTTTCGTCCGCCCAGATGCTTTTCAATTCGGTGCTCCGCCAGCCCCAGCTCGGCGCCCTGAGACACGGTGAGTAACGGTCGTAACCGCTGCTTGTTGCTGGCGGCATTCACCTCCCCCAAAACGCACCACTGAGACCATGGCCGACTCCAGTTCTGTTTCCCAGTCTCCCAAGCTCTCCTACGGCAAGAGTGCATTAGAGTTAGCGAGGACTACTCACAAACGCAGTGCTTTCATGAACTCGGAAAACTTTTAGTCGAAATCGGGCTTTTTAAATCATACTGTAGGCCGAAGAAGGGAAGGACGTTGTTAACTGACCTCCAGGGCCTCTCACTGCTTACGTCTATATTGCGCGTTCACTGGAAAACGCATGCGTGTGTGTGTGTGTGTTCGTTCATGTTCGTTCTCAACGGCCAAGTGAGATCCAAGACTCGAATTCATTGATTAATTTCTTCGTTTGTTGAGAAATCTTAGTGAGCTCTACCTATTTGCCATATTACATCCGTGAATATGACCTGCTGTTCAGGAACCCAGTCGACCTGAGAAAACATTTATTTCTAGCAGAATCAAAATCCGTTTTCCTTCTGATTACTGTATGATCATAAATTTTTTAAATTACAGAGCAAAAAATGCCTGTGATCATAGATGACCGCTGTTCATATATTGAAGTATATTCCAGATGTTTACGGTTCCAGGGATAATATCAATATTATTTTCTGAAGTGGGATAATGTTTTGTTTTTGTTTTAATGGTGTAAGTTGGACATATTCACATGTTAGTATGTAGAAACCCAACTTATTTTCTATCATTCTTTTGGTTCATTATGTCAAAACATTGGCAATAAAAAAAAAAATTGAGATCAGGTTTGTGTGTCATCACCTGAAACTTTTGGATACCTTTCTGGTAAGGGAACTAACTGTTCAGAATAACCTTGGATAAAAATGACACCTCACTCATTAAAAGGCCTGCCATCTCCAGAGATCCTCCCTTCCCTTGAAAACGGATAGAAAACAAAAAGAAAAGAATAGGAGAAAGGAACTCTTTATTTTTTTGTTTGAGAGAGATTTTTTTGCTATAAGGTATGTGTGCTCGCCAGAGACAGAGAGACAGGAAGCAAGAAATCACCCTCCAGAGGGGTTGGCCACGCTGCAGCCCCTTTTCCTCCATTTTCCTCTTGGGATTTTGCGCAGTCCGCACATGCGCCGGTATGAGTTTTAAGATGCCGGGTCTGGCCTTGAACCGCGCTTATATGTGGAGTCCAGCGGCATAACCGTTACGGTATCTGCCGGTTCCGAGAACGGAACTTTTATATTTAAGGGGTAAGTCTAGTAAAAGGATGTTGAGAAGGAGTCCGAGTCTAAAGAGTAATCCGTCAACCTTTTGCTCCCAATCTAAAACATTATACCATCCTTATCTACTTCCCTTTTAGACAATCTAATTTTAGGGTATAATGAAGATCCTTGCTTTAGTTACTTCTCTGTCTTCTGAGTCAATGAGTGGAAGTACAGCACATTAAGAGCTCTGTCTTTGGAATTAAACTGCCCAGTGTTTCAAGCCCTCATTATTAGTGTGACCTGGGGAAGGGTATTCAGCCACTGTTTTGTTACAGATTTTCTTCTAATTTCCCAATCCATCTGTTTACTTTTTCTTTCCCTCTCTTTTAACAAATAGTCATTATTTTGTACTAGGCAGTGAAATTCATCATTGTTATACATTACCCATGGAAATGTGTACTTTTTTCTTCATCAACGATGTTTCATCTTTGACCCCTTTTTCTTCTTCTACCTGCCACCCAAGCATGATCAAAACCATTACTAGGCCTTCTTCCACTACCAACTAAAACTTTTAATTCTCTATACGTTTAGATCCATTTCCATAAAAGCTGTGTGGTTTGATCTTTACTCATCACAAACTCAGGCCCACAAACATGTCAAACTCAAATGCCCAAAACTAAACTCACTTTTCCCCCAAACCTGCCATAATGCCTATTTTAGAAAGTGGCTATTATCTTAAACCAGTATTCTTAGCCAGAAACCTGAGTGTCAATAAAAGACTTCTTCATCTTCCTCATTCCTTTGAATGAAATATTACACATTCTAAAGTTTCTTAAAATATCTTGAATACACCTTTGTTATCACTGATTCTGTCTTTCCCT